AAAAAGTCGACCCCTACCTAAGTATTAAAAAATATAAAATACTATACGTCTATCTTTTAAGATTGAAAATTTATCTATTATTTGGTCGTAAAATTGTGGGTCTGCAGTGAGATTTAAAAGTAATTCTAAATTTTCAAACCGCGTCTCTAATTGAAGAATTATGCAATCTATTATTTCAAAATATAAAATTTGCTTAATAAAAACTGCTTAATCTACCTTAGTGTGTTCCCTACAATAATTAAATAAGAAATTTTACTAATCGAGACAAAAACTATAAAAGATCAGCCAAAAGTTTTAAATAATTTAATCTGAATCAAAACAATAACGTGCTCTACAAACGCTAAGAGAAGACTGGCAACCTTCTTTGTCTCCGCTGGCATCCCACCATAAACGGACCACCAATCAGAACAAACCAAGCCAACTAAATTTCGCCTCATCTACGGTGTTTATTCGCGAACTTACGGCGATATTTTTGTTGGTGAGTCATTTTCGCTTTCAAGAGGTAAATGGGAGCTTCCGAGGCTGTGAAAATTTCGCCTCTGTCCAAGCGACTCAACGATGCACGTTAACTTGACGCGCTTTGCGCCTGGATTTTTATTTAGGTACGCTTAATATGATTGATTGGTTTTTTACTTTTTATTAGGTAGAACTGTTGTAAAAATACACTTGTAATAGGCCAAAATATAAATACAAAAAGTCGTTCGTTCCTTTATTTTAAGGGTGAGGCGCGGCCTCAGAGGCCTACCCTGACGAGCCGCCACTGATTATGAGTCAGTTTTTTAAAGTTCTGCTAATTTTAATAAAAATCAATTTGATTTCTTTTACACAGGTCGTATTAAAAGAAACAAATTTTAATAGTTAGCAGAAAAATAAAAAACTGGTTCTAATGGATAAAAATTTAATTTACGTAAGAAATTCATTCGAGCATAGTTGTACATCGATGCTTACAGCGCAAGTGGCATAGCCACACTGACAGTCACTGACTATCAGTCAGTGACTGACTCCACGGTGGAGTCTCCACCCTGGCGATTAAATTTGTTTTAGTACGCATATCTCAACGACGCATCCAAATCATTTCTGAGAAGGTTCTCGCTTTGTTTTGACTGCGACTTATCTGGTCCAGTTACAATGTATTTTCCCTATGGTTAGCTTGAAAAGGTACGGTATGTATTCTAGCGCGCATTTGGATAAAAATTCATATTTCTACAACCGTTGAAGTTAGCGACTTATTTTTTTTTTAAACTTTGTCAATGTTTTGACTACATTTTACTCGATATTTCTATACATATTATAGAAATTTTCACATAGCTCGCCGCAGAGTAAAGTTTTTGATGCACGATTTTGATAATTCTATATTGTAATATTTTTTTTTCAAAATTTTAAAATTTCTGAATTGCTATTAGAAGCGCTCACATTTCAAGTATAAGTCTGCAAAAAATCAGAATTTTAGATTGTAGGTATTCTAGAATTAATACAACGATTAATGTTACGAATCACCCAACCTCATGGCGGAAATTCTTTTTAAATTATATTATACAAAATATTTTACAAAAAAATTAGTAATTTTTAATCTGTTGCAGATACAAACAAAGAAATAATAATATTTTTGGGACACATTTTTTTTTAAATCAATAATTAAGAAAATGGTTAGTACAACAAGTCAAAAATATAAATTACTGGAAACAAATTTTCGAACGCAAAAACGAAAAATCCACCTAGCTATACTTGATTCAACTACCTAAACCCAGTATAGCACACTGACGGCGCGAGCAGATCATGCAAGACAGAGTAAGCAGGTCGACACGGTTTCGAATATGCGAGCATGATGCATGATGCAATTCGTTATGTCAGCTGTCTACATTGTAGACATTGTAGACAATGTGAAAGTGCAACTTTGGTGATATGTTAAACAAATATTAGAAATATTGTTTTGGTGTTGGGGAATATTTATAATATTTGTTTAAGAATGTTAGTAATTTGAACATGGCTATTTAATTTTATTGAATCTTCTTTAAAATCCTTTAAAGATTTGTCATATAAATGTGTGTGCCTGAATTAGTTCTATGATTAAGAAGTAGTTACATTTTTTAAATTAAATAAAAACACAAATAGGTACCTAATAACAGCTGTTATAAATTATACTGTATTATATGTACTAACAATTTTTCGAAAAATTTGGCGCTTGTGCCATTTAGTATTAAACCCGTCGTTATATATGCATTTACTTTTGAAATATACATCTTTTTTGACTCATTCATATGTGCATATATGCGCTGGAAATGCGTCGGCACAAGTTTGCTTTAAGTGCGCCGGCACACGTGCGCTGCATATGAGACGCATATTTAAGCGCATCTGTGTAGTGATCTGCCCCCACGCGTGCCGTTTAAAGACGCACGCGTGCACTCACTGTGAGTGCATCGTGACTACATTTTTGCTATCTGGGTTATTGTAATGCACCCCTCTAGAGATGTTCAGTGCCGTGTGGAAAGAGCGATGTTATTTTCCCGGATATTCAACCCTTCAAGTAATAATTTTTAAAAACTTAAATGAGGTAAGAATTCGTGTAGTTTTGTTCTACACAGCACTGAACATAAACATCAGAAATTTTTTCCACAGCCCTTTCGGAAATTTTGTTCTGAAGTTTTAATAAGTAAAAGTAAGAGTTTTAAAAGTCTTACTTTTTCTTAAATTCTCTGAATAGTAGTAGTAGTACGGTTGGGTAGGCTCGAAGCCTGACAATTAGACTCCATGGTCCTTTTTATCTGCCCCTCCTAAACCAACCAGACTACTCCTCATCTTCCTCTTCGCCCATACCAGCCCTTTCGAATCTTCCAGACCTTCTTATAAAGGTCAGGATATCCTGCCAGGCAAGAGAGGCCAACTCTTCCCTTTGGAGTGTCATCACTCCAATTCTCTGAATAAGTATTATTAAGTCGGAAAAAGTCAGGATAAGACTTAATAAGTCGGGAAAAGTCTGAATTCAGACTTATTAATAAGTCTTAGTAAGTCAGACTAATAGCAAGATTTGGGAGTCTTCTGAAAGAGTTAATAAGAGTTAATAAGACTTTATTATAACTTATGTAATTAACAAGGGATCTGTATGCATACATATGTACACAAACCAAACGTATGTCTCAACTGTTTTATTGTAAATATTTTATTGAAGTAAACGTTGCTTACCTATATTATAAACATTGCTTTCATGTTTTTATAAGCGTATAACACAAAAACAGTGTTAATAAATACTTTTCTTTGTGTTTTATTTTACAACAACCAAATACAACCTTTCTGAATAATTCCGGATATTTATTTTTATTGCTATAGCTAAACCTACGTATCTACCATTTCTCTTCTAAAAGTCTCTTCCAGAAGACTCCCAAATATTGCTATTATTCTGACTTGCTAAGACTTTTTCAGACTAAGTATTAGTAAGTATTATTCTGACTTTTACAACTTAATAAAGTCTTATTTATAGTTTTTAAGAGAAAGTATGACTTTCAAAACTCTTATTTTTACTTATTAAAACTTTTTCAGAAAAAATTTTCCACAAGGGAGTCCCTATCTCAAAGAATGTATATATGCTTTGGGTTGTCTACTAAGTATCTGGACAACTTTCAGACCTTTTTTTAACCCCTTATAACTACTCCTTTGCGCCTCCAAGCTTGTTCGTAAGGGTGAAGGTCACTATTAATAGTTCCCAGGGTATGTTGTAAACTAAACTGCGCACCACTCAATGTGTCGCGACCAAAAAGTTCGTTCTTTTTCAAAACGACATAACTTTTTTGTTTCTTGAACTATTTTATTTTGGTCTGTGTTGACTGCTAGCCTCATTCTTTGGCAATTCATGCTATAGATATGAAGCTCACGGTTCTTCAAGTAAATTTCCTACAGGGTGATATGTTAAACGGTGAAAAATTTCAATAACTTCATCCAAGCCCCGTTTGTAAAAAAATAATTTTTTTCTCGTTTTCACTTTTAAATAATGAAGTATTATGTCTTACTTTGAAACGTTTTTCAAATTTTTCGAATTGGAATCTTAGCAACGAAAATATGTTTTTTTCCAAGAGTACATTTAAGGCTTTTTTGTAAGCAATACTCTCAGTCTTTTTAGGAACAAGATGATAAGATGGTTAAACATTATTCCTTAAATAATTCTGAACAAGCAACAAGCAACAAACTTTCATTATTTTCAGAGGGTCTAATCAAAGACCACTTTTTCAAAATAACATTTTGGTGAAAATTTGCGAAAACTAAACCTGAACCCATATTTACGTTCGTGCCATGTTTTCTTCATAATTTTGACCTCCTGATTGTGATTTAGTTGTCAAATTTAAGTTTCAGATAAAACCAAAATCACCAAGAATCAAGATTCGAAAACAATTCCCGGCTGTCTAAAAAAAATACGATTGCTGGTTTTTACTGTTTTTCTTACTGCGATTTGCATCTTTAGTACGTTATTATCGGTCAAAATTATAAAGAAAACATGTCACGAACGTAAATATCGGTTTAGGTTTAGTTTTCGCAAATTTTCACCAAAATTTCATTTTGAAAAAGTGGTCTTTGCTTAGGCCCCTTTGAAAATAATGGAAGTTTGTTGCTTGTCGCTTGTTCAGAATTATGCAAGAAACAATCTTTCACCATCTTATCTTCTTGTTCTTAAAAAGACTTAAATGTACTCTTTTGGAAAAAAAATCATATTTTCGTTGCTAAAATTCCAATTCGAAAAATTTGAAATCCTTTTCAAGGTAAGACATAATACTTCATTATTTCAAAGTAAAAACGAGAAAAAATATTTCTTTTTTCAAACGGGGCTTGGATGAAATTATTGAAATTTTTCACTGTTTAACATATCACCCTGTAGGAAATTTACTTGAAGAACCGTGAGCTTCATATCTAGTAAACTATTATAAATAAATAATAATAAATTGTCTTCTTTGAAAGGCTATATTTAAGTTATGTTTATGCAGTTTAGGTTATTAAAATATAAACTCTATTGCGGTATGATCCATAGACCCACAACATTAAATCTCTACATAATATGCAACCAGGTTCACATGTTTTTTTTTATTGCAAGTGCTACATGTAAGAAGACCTACGGAGTGCCGGACAACACACGCGCACCTCGTGGAGAAGAAACAATGGCATTATGTACCTCAGAATACTCCGACATTTCACCTTTACGTGGTGGCAATATTGCTTTTGGTACCATTGAAGGAAGACCGTCGGCCTACGAATTCGACAACAGTCCAGAACTGCAGGTTAGTTAAACCACTTAATAGATAACATCATATATATTTTAATATACTTACAATTTTCTTAAAAACAAACGTATAAAAATTAAAATTTAAATAGCCAGTCCAAAAACTGTAACAATACAAAACATTGTATCGTTTTCCCACCTCACTGTACATGTCCCATCAGTACCACTGTCCCAATAGCACGAACTAGCTGTATGTAAACCAGAACCGGTCTTCTGCATGATGGAACACGTTACAACATACTTAAAATTTTTCTTTAATTTACTCAACTGATTCAAACACTGTTCGGATACTGAGGAACTCCACTGGTTGACTTTTTCCAGTTGATATAAGCTTCCATTCAAAACTGCTTCTACTGTATCTTTAACAATTTTTTGAATATCCTCCACTACAAAGGGTTCATTATCATCCATATTGACAGGGTGTTTATTTGCACTATTTTTAATTTTTGACAATTTACGTTTGGAAATCATGGTAACCGAATTTGTGTTACTCATTGTTGTTGATCCACGCGTTTCGTGTCTGATGCTTAAATGTAACCTGAAAAGAAATAAACCAACACACAATTTATGTAAACTGTAGAGGCGCTTTATGGATGGTGCCGACACGCGATATTTACCTTACTAAATAAACTTTTAAACAACTCCATAAAAAGATAATGTTTAGTATTTATTGCTAATTTACATGAACTTATTCATAAAAAAATAACAAAGTTTTAGTAAGCTTTTACAAATTAATCTTTTTTTAATATACAATTTTACTAGTACCTATATTGTATTATGATATAGCGAAGCGGAGTGCGGCAATAGTACGAGTATAACAATAAGTCACTGTAAGTAGGTTTTTATACTAGTTTGCCTATTTCGATCATAATTTATCAATAAGATTAAATAAATCTTTAAAAAAAAATTTAATTCATGTTACTGGCACAATTAAAGTGAAGCGAAATGTCAAAATTAAATTTGTATTTAATTTCAGTCAAAATAAAATATCAAATTTTGTTTTTTTTCTATTTTGATGCTTCTAAGAGCTAGACACAGTTTACATTTACTTATAATGATTTTATTCACATTTTATAATATAATTTTGATAAACAAAACCAGAAAAACAGTCTGGAATAAAAAAATCCCCAATATCAATGAGAACGATGCGTCCAAAAACTCTTAGTAGCATTGAAATGGACAAAAAATATGTATATACAGTAATAATTACCCTAATTATTCTACTCATATTGTTGCTGAATAAAGGCTTTGCTCTTTATTTATGAATTTTATATTGATATAAAATTACATAAAAACTAACCATATACAGTTGGTAAAAAAGGTAGTACGTCAAATTTTGACTTTTTTTTCAATGTTTTAAAGAAATTATATTTTTTTAAAGACTTTCCCAGGCTGAATGTTAAATTAAATTAAAATTTTGACATATAAAATTATTTTATTTTGACATTTATGTCACCTACAATTTGCTGCATTTAGCGCGTTATCCTAGATATCTATGCCCCTTATTAACGATAGCAACGGATGTAATATGGATGTAATAGTATATTTTTCTGTCAAGCTATTTGGAGGTGTTTTGCAAGGCTAGCCGTAGAATCACCTACTTTCTCGTTCCTACCTTAAAATTTAACTTAATCATAGTAAAGGAAGAACAATTATTTACAAACATTAAATAAATTGTTGTTTGAGGACAAACAAAATTAATAATAAATTACATAACTTCTATTTAAAAGGAAAAATGTGCAAACTTTTTATTAATATTGATTTATAGCAAATTATTTTAAATGATTAATTTTCTTTAAATCTCAAAAAAAAGCAAAACTTGATTATATTTCACTTTTCAAACTATGTTTATTTTTCAATAAAGTAGGGGCTAGTGTAATTCAAATGATATGCCACTTAAATCCCGGCGCATTTTCCATTTTTACAATTTACAATATTAAAAAGGCAAAGTAAGGATACTTAAAAATTTACACGTTTTTCCATTTAGCTTAATTTAATGTTAAATTTCAAGTTTAATTTTGACATTATTAAACTTATTGTGGCTAATAGTACTTTATTATAAAAAGCTTTGCACCATCCACTTAATAAAAAATAGTACATTATAGACCAGATTTTGTGCGAGGTAATTAATAAACTTTCGCCGCTGTGTCTTATATACAATTTTTTTTCAAACTTGCAATTATATAATGCCCTTTTATATAAACTTATAATGGCTACAATTATATAAAAAAAATATTTTAATTAAAAATAAATAAAACAAAATAAAAAAAATACATACATTATATTGTTAACAGACTTACTGTTTTAAAAATATCTTCACAGCGACTATTCCTCCTTTCCATAAACACAAACTCCCAAAGTCAAATAAACATTAGAAACAAGTCGTATAAACGAAAGTGAAGAAAAAAATTCCACTAAAAGGAAATCAATTCTGGTGCCAGGCATAACACGAATACCAAATAAAAATACACGTGCATGTGTTACATTGGCGAATACAATGTTCCTTAATAATTAGAAATAGCTGCGTCAACCTCTGCATTAAATTGCTATTGCTATTATTGGTTGAAGAGTGATTAATTGTTTTTCTGCGATTATTACGGAGCTTATATTTTTAAACCCAATTTTTACCCTTTAGATAAAAATCTGGATTTGTGTTATTATTTATTTATATAACCTTTTGTTTGTCCATTTTTACAAGAAATCAATTCTAATACAAAAATAAACCCAAGAAAAAATACTTCGAAGTAGTTTCTTTTTCTTCTATATAATATACAGCATCCTTCCGACTTATAACAAAATAGAAAAAAATTAAAATTTCATTATTTTTATAAGAAAATAAAAAATTGGTGGTTTCAAGGGCAAGTATAAATAATATAAAATGAAATCATGTAACGTTAATGTCAGGAAGTGGATATCTAACAGTACTTATATTGTTACAGCAGCCCAGTTGTAAATGCCATATAAAATTATATATAAAAAATCACTGCTGGTTCCAATATAATCCTTTATGATTTCTGAAACAGACATTCCATTTAGGACCATATTGGAAACGCAGCAGGGATTCACATATATGTTCCCTAATGACAATTACTGCAGTTCCATGCAACGTGCCATATTGATTCAGATTGGCTCCAATATGAAATAACCAGAAGTTTCATATATGTATTTTAATGCCATTCCATGTTGCTTCCATCTATTGCAGACCAATTTAGATATAGGTTTTTTTAATTTCCTCAGAATTTACAATAAGACGAACTTTATCCTCTATAAATTCAACAAATGCATAACATGCCATTATAGGTATATTGCACAAAAACAAACACGTCTTCACAAATTAGGTACAGAAACTACACCACAAACTGAAAAAAAGTTATTTTTGGAAATGCATGAAACGGCATCAGACGGCAGCCATTAATAATGCTATCCAGTCAAAAATTTAATCTGAGCATGCGCATGAGAAAAGCTTTAAAAAGCATATTTTTTTATGAAAACGAGATGAGGCCAGAGATAACCAAAAGTAGCCTTATGTGAGTATACTCACATAACTCAAGTAATTTTGAACATTATTTTTTTAAATTTTTGGTAAATATGAATATGTGTAGCTAGGTATATCCACATACTTATATGGCATTTTCTATATGCCATAACTAGAAAAACATACTTATAAAAAGAACTAGTATAAGTAATTTTACTATAAAACCAGATAAGAAACTATAAGAAAATCGATATTATAATATGGATTTTCTTATAAATTACTTTATAAATTATGTCATATTCATTACTACAAAGACATATAAAAAACTGACCATATATGTAATTTTACTATAAAACCAGATAAGAAACTATAAGGAAATCGATATTATAATATGGAATTTCTTATAAATTACTTTATAAATTATGTCTTATTCATTACTACAAAGACATAAAAAACTGACCATATATGGAATTACCTATAAATTCATATAAGATGGTTTTCCATACAAATTCCTGACATGTCAAAACATATAAAGTTTATATTATAAACACACTACAGGAATTGATAGGAAAAACTATGAATTCATATACTGATTCCATATGGAAACCATAGTGTGCGTAGTAGTTATTAACTTCTGATTAATTTCATCTAAAATAAATTTATATCCTTGCCATAAAAACAGAAGCGAATTTGCTTTCGGCACGCGCCTAAAGAGCAGCATGCTTTGAGCGTTAATAAAAATAAGCCGCATTATTATAAAATATTAAAAACAGTAGAATATTCGCTACTCTATCGTACCTACTCATAATTGTTTATTGTTTATTTGATTTATTTTTGGTAGAAATAAACCATTTGGTAACAATTTTTATTTCTTTAAGTAATTTTGCGCTAGAATATCGTTTATTTCATTGTATCAAGTTTATTTGACAATACACAAAAACAAATTAGAAAAAACCTTCTTTAGAATTTTGTATTTTTTAGAAAGAAGAAAGAGGGGATGTTACAAGAGAAAAAGGAAGAGTGGAAGTGTAATTTCAACATTATTTCCACCTACTCTGATCGGTGAAAATATTTTGTTAGTAAATTTTTTTGAAAAGTGGATCGCTTCGGTTTTCGCGCCGTTATTTTGATCTTCCACCGATCAAAGTATTTGGAGCAAGTCAAGGTGGATTTGCACCTGCTTGGCGGCTACCGAAGAATAGTACGAATCAGTGCATATGGTGGTGTCATCAGCATACAGCCCTAGCTGATTTATTTTTGGTAGAAATAAACCATTTGCTAACAATTTTTATTTTTTTTTGTAATTTTGCGCTAGAATATCGTATCAAATTAATTTGACAATAAAAAAAGCCAGTTTTTCTAAAATTAAGTATTTTCGAGAGAAAAAAAAATTAAAAAATTCAATTCTCCACCGAGAATAGAACCCGGACCTGCTGCTTGGGAGGCCAAATCAAATCAAATCAAATCAAAAATAATTTTATTCAACTCAAACTATTTTTATGTGGCGCCCACAACAAAGATTGCCCCAAGTATTAACAACATATTTTATTGTGAGATGTCATATGGAGTTTTTTCGGCAAGAAGGGCATGTCAAGAGGCAGCTCCTCTGCGTCAATGTTTGGACGGATGTTTAGTTGTGTGCTGCCGGAATTATTTAGAAAGGCCCGCCTTAATCGCCTAGCGATTTAGCGTCATTTTTGTTATTTATTTTTTCAGATACGGGCAACTCAGAGATATTAATCGGTTTTTTTGCAACTTTTGTTTGGTCGTTACGTGGGAGGCCGGTAACCCAAACACTCGACCAATCCGTGTCTAACAATTTATAAGCAAATAAATAATTAACGTTAAGAACGTAATTGGAAATTAGATAATAATGAATGTTTATTGTATATGTTTATTGTTTTTAACAATTAAATTGATCTTTTGTCCTTTATTACTCTTTTTTTAAACACTTTTATTGCAGCAGGGCAGTGTGATCCTCGAAGTACGGTTCTTTATTTTCAAAAAATCATAACTTAAAAACGAAAAAAGATAGACTCGTGCCGTTTGCACCAAATTAATCGCCATCAAGAAATCATTTTTTCTAGTTATATACTTTGTGTCGGTAAAATTACGTTTTCCGCCTCGAAATGGGAATAATTGTTTTAAACCTTTGGATAACGTTTGTTATTGTTCTAATTGACGGAATAGAACTATCCGGATATTAAACTGAGAATAGGTGTCTTGTTTGACGTAGAGAATTGCCCACTAAAGACAAGCTTATCATGTCAATTTTCTCTTGCAATATGTAGGACATTATAACTTAACTATAATTTTAAATAAAAGAAATTAATTTATGTTAAAACGCTTGAAATACACACTAGCAAATGCAAAACAAAACTGAATCCTCGCCTACGCCGGCAATCTGCTTACAATTCATCTGGGAAGGGGCTTCTGAGGAGGAGCGATCGGATTCACTCGGGTTCACTCGTATAGCTGTCTTTCTCCTTCTCTCTACGATATATCTTTTTCCCCTCTCGTGTAACGAAATCTCGGAACGTTACATTTTTTCCAATTCACTCTCCATTATCGTCAAATATCAGAACGCCACCAAAGAAGTTTCACTTCAAAAACAAAATATGCATTTGCATATAAGCCAGTCTCTAGTTATAACTAAACAAAAATATAGTTTTTTATTACTATTAGGTAACTATGTAAATTGCTAAACTTTTTTTGAAATTTTACCTTTTTTTTTTTTAAATTTATTTATGTAATTGCTTAGTAGGAAAATAATTTAATTATTAAAGGCATCAAAAATATTTTTTTAATTAATGACTTTTGTATATAATTCCTATACAAGATGTTACCTGAAACAAATATATTTGTTATGATAGACTATACTAATTATTTCAGGAATGGGTAACAGCAACAGAAATCATGATCACTCTTAACAGGATCAACACCTTTGGTGATGAGATTTTCAACGATCCCCAGGTGCTTCGATCCTATTTCTACGCTATCGCTGATGTGGCTGTGGGTGCTCGATGCAAGTGTAACGGACACGCTTCCGAATGCGTTGCTTCCAGCGGGGTGGACGGATCCACACGTAGAGTTTGCAAGTGCGAGCACAATACTGCAGGTCCGGATTGTAACGAGTGCTTGCCGTTTTATAATGACGCACCTTGGGCCAGGGCTACTAACAAGAATGCCAACGAATGTAAACGTAAGTACTACTTTTAAAAATTGATTTATGCAAAAAATAGACCTATTCAAAAATATAAACATTGCTTTTTGGAATTCAACCAACATTCGGCAACAAATGAAAGGTATATTTTGCCTTGACCAGAGATATAGATGGAGGAGAATAAGCTTTAACGTGCGCTAATGGGGACATACTGATAGTCGCCATTTTTAACCACGTATCCAAATCTTGCGAGTTTTCGAACGCGCTCTTGGTGTTTCTACACGTTTTAAGGCGCGTTCATGCTCACTTAAAATAAGAAATAAGAAATAAGACAAAAAGTTAATGTTCATGAAAATAAGAAATAAGAAATAAGACTAAAGATAAATAACTTTTAACTTTGGTTCTTATTTTTGCGTATAAAACTGCGGATGTGAATTGGTTTTATGAGTTTTATGTGCTGGTCATGGATCCATGGTGTTGGAAATCGCGTTGAGTGTCGCTGCCGATTGTTTACGTTTATAGGCAAAATATAATCCACTATAATAAAATATAATTGTGTGACAACATTTTTTATTTCTTATGTTATCAGCATGAACGATTAATCGGGATCTTATTTCTTATTTCTTATTTCTTATTTCCTATTTCCTATTTCCTATTTCCTATTTCCTATTTCCTATTTCCTATTTCCTATTTCCTATTTCCTATTTCCTATTTCCTATTTCCTATTTCCTATTTCCTATTTCCTATTTCCTATTTCCTATTTCCTATTTCCTATTTCATATTTCCTATTTCCTATTTCCTATTTCCTATTTCCTATTTCCTATTTCCTATTTCCTATTTCCTATTTCCTATTTCCTATTTCCTATTTCCTATTTCCTATTTCCTATTTCCTATTTCCTATTTCCTATTTCTTATTTCTTATTTCTTATTTCTTATTTCTTATTTCTTATTTCTTATTTCTTATTTCTTATTTGTTATTTCTTATTTCTTATTTCTTATTTCTTATTTCTTATTTTAAGTGAGCATGAATACGCCTTTAACAGCACAAGACATTTTATATCACAGGAATTTTCACAATATAAAAACACAACCATATAACAAGTATACAAAAATTCAACTAAACCAAAAATATCGGGGTAGAAAGAAGGTAGAAGTTATTATTCGCAGATAAAAAATCAGATAGTTGTTTTTAGACGTCTAACCTCTAAAAACAATGTGGTTACTTATAAACATAACATAAAAGTTCACGACCAAAAATTACAAAATACCCGATTTTACTCCCAAGAGTAAAAATATAGTTATATTTATAAATTTTCTAGCGCATTCGCCCTATTTTGACAAATGAATTTAATTTTGTATTATTCAAGAAGAATGGCAACAGGATAAAATAATAATAATTATGTGGATAAGCTCCAAACACTCGGCACTTCGCTCGGCATAGGCGGTTGACCGGCGGTTCGGCTTGCCTCCAGTCGTCCCGCTTATGACCCGCGTTATGTTAGCCCGGTAACGTTTTGCCATGTTCTAACCAAAGTCGGCCAGAATACGGCATGCCGCTGCAAAATCGTTCGGCTTGCCCTAGCCGGCCCGCTTACGGCCGGAATAGTGCCTGCCGCGGCTTAAGCAATACATCTCACGGCTGCCTACGCAAGCAAGCTAACTATAAATAGCGATGGGTTGCAATATTTAGTTGGAAGTGTGCGTCTGTAATGGCATAGCTGAACATTAATTGTTTGAATCCCATCTGCTCAGTAACGAATAATGGCTAACTATAGTCGAGTGTGTTAAACCTATAGGATATACCTATCCAGGACGTCTGAAGGCTTTTTTTTGAATTGCCAGGCTTTTGTGGCCGGCACTCGGCCAACTATATACAGCCGACATTCGGCCAAGTAAATATAGCCGACATTCGGCCAAGCGGACATGCCCCGTATACACGCCGGAACAAATACATGTGTCGAGCCGCACGCGGCTGATTCGGCAAAACGTATTTGGGCCGGCTAGCTTGTGCTTACTGGGTAAATATACAATATCATCTAAAAATTTGTAGGTTAGTATTTTGATCGAAATTTTCAAAATACCCGCTCTAATATTTTACCCTCAAGCATGGCGAAAATACCCGATTTTTGTGAGTAATATCATAAGGACATCTAATTTTTCCGAAAAAAAATCGAAAAAACACCTTGCTAAGTAATATTTTAACGAGGATTTTGTACGGATTTTTGCACCTGCACGAATGCATTTTGTTAAAAAATATTACTTAGCATTGTGTTTTTTCGATTTTTTTTTACAGGAAAAATTAGATGCCCTAATGGTATTTGACAAGACTATTTCATGAGCAACAGTTATTCTACATACAGATACCTAGCTTACAAAACATACTACCTATTATACATGCATACATAATAAATGTGTAGGTATTAATTTGAAAACTCAAAAATAGGTAATTTATTTAGTCACAAAATATTAAAAACTTAATTATTTATGGTACAATTAAAATATAAATTGCAATTTTGGTGACAACAGCTGTCAAGTTTTGCCGCGGGTAAACTATCTATGGGTTATCTATGGTAAACTCGAAAAAACTGCTGACAGGTCATACAGTTTTTCCACCTATAATTTATAAAAAATAAACAGATGACGCAACTGTCGCTTGTTTTATAAGCAGTGTTGCCGTTAGCGGGTATTTTACCCGACTATTTCCCTCGTCTTAATATCCACCAATCACAAATGCGCAATTTTGAATTACAAATGGTTTATAGGTTATAGGCTATTTCCATCAGCCATTTCATAACATAAATGCATATTTGCCATTTCACTATTAGTAATTACTTTCAGTTTAAACTGAACCATATTGGACAAAAAATAACTCGAAAAATATTCATCAAAATTACTTTTTAAAACGATTACAAATTATTAGGTTATAACAATTGTTAAGTTATCCAAGGCAACCCTTGATTATTTCCTCTTTTTCCTTATGTTTCTTGTGTGATCCAGGGATATGCAATTAAGTGGATTTTATTTCTATTCTCAAAAACTAAGCAGGATACAAAAAAAATTTAAGAGACAAAAAAGTTGTATGGCTGTTTATTTGTGTTTGACCTATTGTGTAATAGTCCTTCGGAGGAGACTTTAAGCCCGCTCAAGCCATTCAGTTGGCTTCTGGGACTTCTTAGGAAGTAAGGGTGGAACTAAAAGAGCACTTTTGTATATAAACTTTTTTTGTACTTTTTATATTTTTTAAGGTGCCCCTCGGGACGCCACTGAGCTTGATAAATTTAATCAAGTTGAGAGCTAAAACATTGCAAATTACAACAAAATTGGGTAAAGAATATTTAAAATAATAAATACATTCGATATTTTTAAGACTAAATCAATAAAAAATAATTTAAATCATTAAATGGGATATAAAAACTTATATGGGTGGCTAATAGCTACTGGTTATTTGCCTCTCATAATAACTAATATCCTTATTTGGTGCCACTAACTTTTACAATTAATAAATATACCAAAAGTGAACATTACTTGTAAAACTTTTTAACAGCCATCATAGGTATTGTTTTTCGTAATGAATTTTATTTAGGTTTTTAGAAATAAAATAGTAAAAATTGTAAGCAAATAACCCGGCCATTCCACGTCAAATCAAACACAATAATGGAAAAAGTTGTCTTGACAAAAAAGAAATGTTAATAAATACTTTTCTTCGTGTTTTATTTCACAATAACCAAATAATGAATAATTCATGATATTTATTTTTATCGCTATAGTTACATACCTACCTACAATTTCCCTTCTAAAAGTCTTATTAAATCTTCCAGAAGACTCCCTAATCTTGCTATTAGTCTTACTAAGACTTTTTTAATCTTATTCTGAAGTTTTTCGACTTAATAAGTCTTATTCAGAGTTTTTAAGAGAAAGTAAGACGTTTTACTTACTAAAACTTTTTCATAGAAACATTTTCACAGGGACTCCTTACAAATTATTTCAGTAAAAGTTTGTTTCTAAAGGTTATATTTTAAGCTGATTTCAAAATTGAAATCAGAATTTGTGTATCTTTTATTGTTTTTGTATGAGCATTGCATCAACCATTTTTATTTTTGAGTTCTCTAAAAAACGCCGACAACTGCATTTTAAACAATAAAATATACCTACGAATTCATGGCAACATAATATTATATCTATATAATACATAAAATAATGACGACTGAACTGAATTAAAATGTTTACAGTTTTCATGTTAATCATTACTAAAATGTGTATTTATTGTATCTAATAGATACAATTTATATTTACAGGAACTGTATGAAAATTATTTCTTCATTCGGATTAACACTGTTTATTGGAAAACCGGTAAAAACTCAACACAGGATTTCCTCTCGAAATACACCAAACAACACAACAAATCGTGCACGGTTTTTTTTTTCAATTTTCCGACTTTATTCTTAAAAAGACTCGTTTGTAATATAAGCGATTGACAGCTCATTATTAAAAGTTGTACTTTTGTTACGATTATAACAGCCGAGTGGTGGCGCTACTAGCGATACTTCTTTAGCGTATAAAACGAGAATACGAGACAAAATAAGCTGGCATCTGTTATCCGCCATTATTAACAATTTATGTAGCATAGTATATAATAGTTATTTTTGATAGTGTTTCATTTTATTTTACGAGAATAAAAATTGAATAGCGGGCGTAGCGAGTAATCCCACCTTTTGAACAAAATAAAAACACTTTTAACACTTACTTATAAATAACTACCTATTAATTACGAATGCTACGTAAATGGTCAATAATGACAGATAACAGATGTTGGCATATTTTATTTCGTATTCTCGTTTCATATACTCATGCTCATTTTTAACAACTGCATTAGCTCATTTTTAACATCTATTATAGATTAGGTTTTACACCTGTCACTTGTCATTTTTTATATCTGTCACCTATAATTTTAACATGTTTCACCTGTGTTTTTAAACAAACGACCAGTATTTAGTCACATAACAGTTCAAGAATTTTTTTCTTATCTCCTAGGGGGAAAGCTAAGATGAATTTTTGTCTGGAATTGGTGGTAAACCATCTTACAGCATATGAAAATTTAAAACATATGATCCTGACCAAACATGCCAAAAAAATGTTTAGCAAATGCAGCGATCAAGCAAAAACAATAGAAGACACACATTCTGATTACATTTTTGAAATTAGCTTAAAAAGTTACCCCTAGAAACAAACTTTCTTTCTTTAATAACCTTTACAACTAAAGAGTTATTTAAGGAATTGAGAACACATTCTGCGAAATTAAATACTTTTAATTTTTAAGTAATTTTCGCTGTAATCAAGCAAAAATTGTAGTGTAAGGATATAATAAATTAAAAATTGTACTTTTTTAAATATTCATGGGTATAGTGTTTATTTTGTATTTTAAACGTTTCAATAGAAAATCTGTAGGTTAACAACTTAAAGAGTATGTGGGTGTATATGCATAAAGGAATATGTAAAATCATTAAATTATATTCAGAAACTTACGTCAACGTGCACTTTATGCATTGTCAGGTAGGATGTCTGATAGACATGTAAATGCGCCATACGATTCCTTAAAATAAAACCAACATAAGAACCATATCTAAAAACCCATATACAAAAGTTTATATACAAATATATTTTCCTAAATGTTACTTATGGGTGTAACCAGTGGCGGATTTAAGATAAAAGGCCTGGTATGCAAAAGAAGCTGTTTTTAATACAAGAAGGATCTATTTTAAAAGATTTTTTATTTTTTGGCATTGTAAAAAATATTTTGTAATATGTGACACGCCTCGAGAAAACGAACCTTAGGTCCAAAAATGATTTTCGAAATTATGATTTTTTTAGTAGATTGGTACACGATCGTTCGAGTCAATAATGATTTAATTATCTCAAAAATTGACAATGCTACGAAGTTCCAAATTTAAGCTTTATTACACAAACGCTCGTTCCTTGCAGGAGCGGATTTATAAATTTGCTTAACATTATCGCTGACTACACACAAATTGGAAATTTCAAACAAAATCCTATATTTAATTGGTTCCAAATTTCATTATTTGAATTGAAAAAAAAAAGATTAAAATTATAAAGTGCAGGTTTATTTTCTACGTTCTCTCTAAATTTTTCAAACACAGAAAAATATGGAGTGAACCATTAAAATTACATCTCGCCTCTGTTGACTTAACAACTGAGTATATAGGCTCAGGGAGTAATTTGTTTTGATTGTGTTCCACTACACCAAGTTGCCCGACACTGATGAGACCCAATAAAGGTCGAAACAGCTGTCTGTCGGTATTTGAAGTTGGTGGAACGCATTCAAAACAAAAAACTTTGGCGAGGTGTAGGTTCAATTTTTTCTTATGAATATTACCAGTGATGGGTCCAAGAAAGTTTCTTAAAGAAACTAAGAAAATTGAATGTTTACATTAAAATTATGTATAGTTTACTTGCACGACCTAGTTGAAGAGATCTTGCACCCAAAATACTTCTAGTGATATACACTCTCTGAGGTGCAAAGTCTCTTCAACTAGATCGTCTGAAAAATCCTAGAAATAAACTAAACATAATTTTAATGCTTCACTCCTTATTTCTCTAATTTAAAAGAGAACGTAGAATAAAAATTCTGCCTTCGAAAACCTTCCGCCGTAGGCTATAGCCCATCAAGCGGTTCCTTGATCTATTTTAGTCCTTTAAATAATTAATATAATGAAGTACTGAGTACAAAGGGACACTTAAAAAGTGTCAAAGAACTTAATAATAAAAAGTTTCAAGTAACGATTGGTGAAAGGGGCCCGTAGGGCAATCGCTCAGGGGGGCCCAGTCAGCAAATGCCGGTGTGCTGACCTGCTAAATCCGCTGCTGGCTGTAGCAAAATAATATTGTTAAAAAAATCATTTCTTTAAATAAAATAAATGTTCTTTTTATAAAAAAATCTGTTGGGTACTACAAGTATATTACTTTAATTAATGGTATTAATGTAGTGTAATAATTTTAGGCATTTATCATACCTATAATGGATAACTTATCCAGGAAAAGGCTTTATTGCGACATGCAACAATTTACCTTGCTTAATCATTGAAAGCATGCAAATCTAAAATTATAGTTTACATTTACACAAACCTACTTATTAAATTCCACTAATGAATGTGGTGAGGTTCTTAAAGTTAATGCAGGGGTAAGTTCTTTTTCATTATTTCATACTGATATAAGAAGCATTTAAAAAATTTTTAACCATTTAATTGTCTACTTGGAAACTGGGAAAAATATTCTAACCAATAATAAATTAAATTAAAATAAATTATATTTTTAGGAAAGAAAAAAATTCTATATGACATTTTTAAATACACATCTTACACACACTATATATAACGCGCTTTATACCTCATAGAAGTTCAGTTTTTGTCACTTTAGGTTATTGTTAAGAAATAACTTTTTTTTGATATTTTTTAACTATAAAAATACAGCTATTTAAACATGAATTATTTTAAATAAACCTGATACACTGCGCTGATTTCGTGCCCGGCCGGCCAAGCAGCGGACGCGCGCGGCCACATAAAAACCTTAATAATTATCGCAATAAGTCACATCCAAACTTTAGATGGACTTGTTCACAAGACTTTGGCCTACACCTAAAAAAAAATAAAAAATGTCTCAAAACCGTTTCTAGGATATGTCAGTATGACCACAAAAATGACCTTCACTAAGCAACCCCTGTAGCCACCCCAACTTTTTTAAATGAACACCCTCTTTGTGAAAGATCTTGAAAATTGCTATTTAAAAGTACTAAAAAAATACTTTTTAATAGTTTAATTTTTGAAAAATAAACAAACTATTAATTTCGGTTGGATTTGATCCACAAGGAACACAACATGCTGCTAAAGGTGTTCCTGTCAACACTTAAACAACTTTGCTATCCACCATTGTAGAAAATAAAGTGTGCTTTGGTACATTTTTGCTTGTATTGGGATAGCCCAGAAGCTCTATCACAGCCCCATTTTCCTATGAGCTCCAAATTTGTTGAAATCTCATCCTGAATGTTTTTACATGATTTCAGCATTCTTATGACTGTATGGTACATAAAAGGTTGACTTTTTACCTCCGCCTTTGTTTCACTGACTTCTAGCGACCCAGGATTTTTGTTTGCTTCTAGAATGCATTTGTATGCTGAAAATAATTTAGAATTGTGTCCCAAGGCAAGCTGTTGTAATTTTTATAGTTTGCTTAAGTTAAATTTAAATCAAGAAACAACGCCAAAGCCTCTTATTTTGTAAAGGGAATCTCTCCTGATGTAGATGTCGAAGGTTCTATATTTTCTTTGTCGTGTTTATGTGTTGATTCATAAAGATAATCATCACCTTCAATGCCAAATTGTTCTTTAAATTCTCCAGCTTTCCGTCTCTTTGATCTATGTGATAGTTCAACAAAATCTTTGGCTTTCCAGAAGATTTCTTCTTTGGGGTCTTTGAAGTTCCTTTGGATTCAAAGAAAGGCTTATCTAGCCATTTAGAATTTTTAATTAGAAAATTTTTGTTGCGACTTGAATTTTGTAAACGATTCTTCGTATTTCTAAAAAATGCTTCCAGTCTTATATAAGGTGTCATCAATATTCGTATCGTAATTTTCTTGAGAGATTAAGAGAAAATCAAATACAAAATCTACTAAATCCTTATTGATAATATCAGCCATAATGTTGTTAACGCTAGGTGAATTTACAAAAGAATACCTACTACCTATATTTGTTAATATTTATATAAATAAAAAACCTACGTAACAAAATTTTTGTTTCTATTATTATTGTATACCTACATTTTTAAAAATACAAACTACCTATCGGTAATCCCTATATTTAGTAAATATTATTTACTAATAACACTTTACCTACCCAAATATTCTAACTAATAATAAATTAAATTAAAATAAATTATAGTATTAGAAAAGTATAGTATTAGAAAAGAAAAAAATTCTATATGACATTTTTAAATATACAATTTACACACACTATAACGCGCTTTATACCTCATTATACACATAGAAGTTCAGTTTTTAGCACTTTAGATTATAATGTAACAATAATTTTTTTTGATATTTTTAACTATAAAATTGTAAAGATAGATAAATATCCGATTTATATTTAAAAAAATTTTAAGATACAGCTATTTAAACATGAATTATTTTAAATAAACCTAATACACTGCGCTGAACTATAAAATTGTAAAGATAGATAAATATCCGATTTATATTTAAAAAAAATTTAAGATACAGCTATTTAAACATGAATTATTTTAAATAAACCTAATACACTGCGCTGATTTCGTGCCCGGCCGGACAAGCCACATAAAAACCTTAATAATTTTCGCACGAAGGTGCATCCAAACTTTAGATGGACTTGTTCACAAGAAAATCAAAAATTTATTGGCGTTTATTTAAAAAAAAATATTAAAAAATCTTTATTAGTTTTCAAGTTACTGCCATTCAAACTTAAATAATTTTAAAGAAAAAATAATAATTTGTATTGATTTTAAACTTGGTCAACTTTAAGGTTCTATAACTTTTTTATTATTGAATATTTTTAAATTTTACGTACAAATTCAATGTTTTTTCTACGGGAAATTTAGATTTACTCAATTGCAAAAAGACCTAAATTGTATTTTTGGCCACTTTTGGGCGATTCCAGTCCACTGTGCACCGCTCCGCTTTATTGTTTTGCTTTATGTAAACCTGAAATATATTGGAACATAAAATTAGGTTTTTACGGTGCAATTTAAAAATCCATTTAACTTAAAAGACGACGTCGTTTTTTTTTAATTTTTGGAAAAGGTCAAAAGTCAAAAGGTCACAGTGTAAATTTCAAAATGTCAAAATAGTATATTAAAGTACAAGTTGCAGAAGGCCACATATTCTCGCACGAATTCGAAATTTGGCCTCGAGCGACGAAGGAGCGAGTGGACGAACGAATGAGTGCGAGAATAGCCTTCTGCAACGTGTGATTTATACTATTTTCTCGATTTTAACTTTTATTTAGGTTTTTTTAATTGTTTTGTGGTCGTTGTTAGTTAGGGGATTTTTCTCGCAAAATGTCAGTTGGCAACACAAAATGACAATATTTGTTATCCTGCACAAGTACAACCTGAACTGCACTTTTACACATTAAACTTAAAATTTTGCATTAAAATGCATTGTTGGAGCAAACTTTATATTACAAAACAATAATAAAGGCTTCATTTTTAATAAAAGTAATGAATTTGAGGTTATTAATTAGTTTGACATTTTGGGGGTACCAATACTTAAAAACTAAATGTTACCAAAAATCGTTTAAGAATGAGCTTCATTCTTCAACGATTTTGCGTGCGAGAATATGACATTCTTACATAAAAATCGAGAAAAGGCTTTTAAATATATATTTTATACGCTGCCCCGCCGCGGTGCGACAGTTACGATTGCGTAACAAAACAACTTTTTTTTAGGTACAACGCCTTCTATCAAAAAAATAAAAACTTGCAATACCTAACACCAAACAAAAACAAAACAAA